AGTGGCCACTGCACTCCAGTCTGGGTGACAGAGTAAGACTCCAAATCAAAAAAAAAGAAAGAAAAACAAGGCCATTGCTTTGTTAAATTCTGGTCGGGCCATGAGCCTCTTTGAGCTATGGTCCCATGTTTCCTAGCTTTGGTACCCTCCCCTACCTTGGGAAGGTGAATATCCTCTCTCTCTAACTTACTTGCTATATAAACTATATTTTCTAATCTAAAAAAAAAGAGAAAAACAAAATTATGAATTTTGCAACAACCTGGATGGAATTAGGATCTATAACACTCAGTGATTTATCACAAAAACAAAGATCTGAGTACCACATGTACTCACTCATAAGTGGACCCTGAACATTTATCATAATATTATAAAAAAGAGATTGGCAGTAGTGGGACACTGCTGGGGGGTGGTGTACATAACATCAATAAGGATACCCACACTTTACCTGTATGCTGACCATGTATGTACCCAACTCTGAATTGTACCCCACATTTTAAAAATAAAATTTAAGAATAAGCACAAGAAAAACAAAATTTTAAAAATAATCTATATACATGAAAACATAGCCAAGCACTTTTAGTAAGCATAGATTCATTTTTGAAATAAGGATCACAATGAAAACACTTGTAGCTAAAACTCAGGTTTACAAGTCGAATAGGCTGGGGATATTACCTATAGTCCTCAGCAATAGACGCCAACAGTTTTCTACAAGTCCTATTATCAAAACGGCACACACAACGCATTGTTTCTTGAAGTTGAGCCATTAAATTCTTATCTTGTAAATTAATTGCTTCAGCTATTTGAACTTTTAAGAAGCATACAATTTCATTGTCTAAATAAAAAAATAAGAAGTCTGTTATTATTGAGAATTTCTATGGGCTTAATTACATAAGCTGTACATTACATCTCTGCATTCAAGATACCAATTGCATTGTTACATACCATCAGAACTAAGCTGTATTGCCACTCCCAATGAAAAAATACTTAATATAATAAAACATCAGTGATCAAAGTGTCCTTAAGTAACACGAATATAAATGTATTACATGGAACCATATTGGATTGCTGTACAGCTTAAACACCTAAATACTGGCAATTTCATACAGTTCAACCTATAAATACAGGAAAAAAAAATAGGCCAGGTGTGGTGGCTCACACCTGTAATCTCAGCATTTAAGAAGGCCGAGGTGAGAGGACTGCTTGAGCCCAGGACTTTGAGACCAGCCTAGGCAACATACTGAGACTTCATCTCTTAAAAAATTAAAACTTAAAAAAATAATCCCATGGCAATTTACCTTCTGGGTCTGTATGGTCTGGTAAACCATTTCTTGTTGAATGGCTTAGCACGGGAAAGGCAACAGAATCCGCAGAGCAAAGAGCAAGCCTCAGTTTCTTCTTTGCATCTCTGGAGTAAAAAATACATTAATTTCTTTACCCAGATATGGACACATTATATGAATATTTACCATACAAAAATGTTATCACAGAAATCAAATGTTCCAAATGGTCATTAAAAAAAAAACTGGTGGCTCATGCCTATAATCCCAGCACTTTGGGGGGCTGAGGTAGAAGATTGCCTGAGCCCACAAGTTTGAGACCAGCCTGGACAACTTGGTGAGACCTCATCTCTACAATAAATCAAAAACTTAGCCGGGCATGGTGGCGCGAGTCTGTGGTTCCAGCTACTTGGAAGGCTGAGGCAGAAGGATCGCCTGAGCCCAGTAGGTTGAGGCTACAGTGGCCATCAAGTGTGCTACTACACTCCAGCCTGGGCAACAGAGTAAGACTCCAACTCAAAAAAAAAAAAAAAAAAAAAAAAACCATTGTTTTTAATTTACTGACATCCTACTTAGAAAGAGTTTCTTTCTTTTTTTTTTTTTGAGTTGGAGTCTCACTCTGTTGCCCAGACTGGAGCGCAGTGGCACGCTCCCGGCCACTGCAGCCTCAACCTGCTAGGCTCCAGCAATCCTTCTACCTCAGCCTTCCAAGTAGCCGGAACTACAGGAGCGCGCTACCACGCCTGGCTAGTTTTTGATTTATTGTAGAGACAAGGTCTCACCAAGTTGCCCGGGCAGGTCTTGAACCCACAGGCTCAGGTAATCCACTTGGCTCGGCCTTCCAAATTGCCAGGATTATAGGCTGAGCCACCGAGCCCAGCCAGAAAGGGTTTCTAGTTACCCAAGAAGCAAGATAATAAAAGTGTTCTGGGCAAGGACCATTCTGTAAAGTCACCAGATTCAGCCAAACAATAAATCCTTTTTTATTTTTTTATCATATGCTGACTTCTCTGATAGGTACTATGAGGAGAATCAGAAAAGCACATTATGCCAGAGTGCGAGGGACCACAGGAATCATCAGAACTTCCCTGACCCCAGCACTTAAATTTAGAATGCCCTCCATCATATTTCTTGAGAAATGCTGATCTTGACACAAGGCAAGCTCACTGCCTGACAAGAAGCCCTTTCTATTGCTCAATTGCTTGAAAGATTTTTGTGTTGAGTGGAAAACTGTTTCCTTTTCTACTTGAACACTCTTCATTAAAGTGGTGCCCTCTCCAACAATGCAGCTCTTCTTACGGGAGATACCATCACATTTTTTTTCTTTTTTTTTTGAGTTGGAGTCTCATTCTGTCGCCCAAGCTGGAGTGCAGTGGCATGTTCACAGCCACCCCAGCGTTGATCTGCTGGGCTCAGACAATCCTTCCACCTCAGCTTTCCAAGTAGCCAGAACTACAGGTGCCTGCTACCATGCCCAGCTAATTATTTATTTATTTATTGTAGAGATGAGTTCTCACCATGTTGCCCAGGCTGGTCTCAAACCCACGGGCTCAGGCAATTCTCTCGCCTTGGCCTCCCAAAGTGCTGGGATTACAGGCTGAGCCACCAAGTCTGGTCACATTTCTTTTACATGCCAGCGCTTGTGGCTCTTTCTGGTGCTGCCGGGCATGGACAATCATCTTGAGAATGTTCAAACATGCCACCCAAAGAGTTACACAATTCAGCAAACAGGCCAGAGTTTGCTCCTCCCTCTGAAGGGTTATCCCTTGTGCATCTCATCTAACTAGCTCTGAATCTTTTCCTATCTTTTTTCTTCCTATAAAACAAGTCAATTAGAAATCAAACTGACCAAATAAAATATCTGACACTTTGCAAAGACTTTAATAAAATACATAACAATAAAGTCACTTGATGAATTTATTAGCAAAATAAGTCATGGGAAATAAAAATGCCCAATTTTACTGTAGAAAATAATTTTTAAAAGCTTTATAATTTGTAGAAATAAAATAATATGATATTTAGAGTTTGCTTTAAAATAAAGGAGGAATAAATATGAAACAATATTGGTCATGTATTAGTAACTGTTGAATCTGGGTAATAAGTACATCATTATACTCTTTCATTTTTATACAGGCTTGAAAATTTCTAGAATAAAAAGTTAAGAGAGGGAGAAAATTTCCTAAGTTCATAAGAGAGAACAGTGCCTTAAAACTGATGTTCCCTGTCTGAGGAAACAGGTTTCCTCAAAGGCAAAATTTCAGGATCTCAAAGTTATTTTCTTTCTCAAGCTCCATTAGAAATGGAAAGACAAGCCGGGCTCGGTGGCTCAGCCTATAATCCCAGCACTTTGGGAGGCTGAGGTGAGTGAATTGCCTGAGCCCGCGGGTTCGAGAC